TACTTACACAGCAACTTTTAAATGGACTGTACTTACACAGCAACTTTCTATCTTATCAGGATACTCAAAGCACTTGACACTACAATCTGTGCCGTCATTTACTCATTCATATGTCTAAAGAGACTCATCAGTACTTTAATCACATTCATTCACCAATGGGACACACATCAAAGGCAATGAGGGGTTCAGTGTCTTGCCCGGGGACATTTCGGTATGTGACTGTTGGTGGATTTGAACCCCCAACTCTTGCATTGGAGGATGACTGCTCTAACCACTCAGCCACAGCCGCCCAAAAAGAAAAGGAAGATCCAAAATACTTTTAGGAGATAAAGTCGTGCATAAAGTAGGTGTGGGAAGTATTTAAGATATGGAGCTGGTGTTATAGGCTGAACTGATGGACTCACTGGTGGACCACGGCTGCCTCTGAAACCAGGAAGACCATTTGGGCCTGGAGCACCCGGTTTTCCTGCTACACCATCTTTTCCTGAATCTCCAGGGTTACCAGCAGATCCTGGGGAGATTGAAAAAAACATATACCAACATATCACGTATACCAAAAACAACAACAACAACAAAATAATCAAAACAAAACAAACAAAAAAAAACCACATAAGCACATGCAGCATTTTTGAAAACTCCTTTTATTCATAGAGATAGAAATAAAATAAAATAAATTTTGGACCTTTCTGTGTGGCAACAGTCAGGTTTCCTTTACGACCTTTTGGCCCTGGAACACCATTAAGCCCAGGAACTCCCTACAGCTCAACACAAACGAGTGAGGGGAAACAGAAATGAGCTGATGATAAAGAACAGAAAACGCTAAACACATTATTCATCTAATTTCTTTTCTAAAGGTGGGATTTTTCTCACAGGCTGTCCGTCTTTTCCTCGAGGACCCGGGTCTCCTGGGTCACCCTCACTACCAAATTCTCCAATCATCCCATCATCTCCAGGCTCACCAGCAGGACCAGATAAACCAGGCTGGGAATTTCCAAGACTGCACTCGCATCCTCCCTGGTCACCTGCATCAAACACATCGTTCAGTGGCATGCACCCAACAGAATTAAGTGGTTTAGTATGGGGTGCCATATGTAAAGTTACACAGTCAAAAATTAACAGCAATATTTTGGTTTATTTAGACTTTAATAAGAAAAAAAAGGTAGTTTTATTTTTCCAAAGTCATATTTTCACAATGCTATTCATACATTTATAAATGTCATAATTCCCATCTAAATGTTTAATTTACAAGCTAAATATTTAATTTCTGAGCTAAACATTTAATTTCCATAATCAACATTTACTTTGCTAACTAAATATTTAACTCTGATCTAAATATTTAGCTATCAAGTTAAATATTTAGTTAGTAAACTAAATATTTAGGTGTAAAATAAATATTTAATTTCCAAGCTAAACATATAATTTCCAAAATAAATATTTAATTTGCTAACTAACAATTTAACTCTGATCTAAATATTTAGCTTGCAAGTTAAATATTTAGATCAGAGTTAAATATTTAGTTAGCAAATTAAATATTTAGCCTGGAAATTAAATATTTAATTTACATCTAAATATTTAGTTTACTAACTAAATATGTAAATATTTAATTTGTAAACTACATATTTAGCTTGGAAATTAAATATTTAGTTTGGGACTATGACATTTATAAATGTATGATTTAATTTTAATTTTTATTTTGTATGAATAACACGATGAAAATATGACTTAGAAAAAAACCCTTTTTTCTTATTAAAGGCTAAATAAACCAAACTATTGCTGCTAATTTTTTACTGTGTAACTTTACAAACGACACCCCATAGTTTAGAAGTTTTATCATGAACAACAGGAAAGGCGTTCTTTCTGAATATGATTTGAGCACCTTTCTGTCCTTTCTGTCCTGCAAAGCCAGGTCTTCCCCTCCATCCTGGATCTCCAGCAAAGTATTCTTTCACTGGAAGCAAACAGAAGTAAAGAGTCATAAAAAGCACAAAATAAAGTTTTTATTTCTTTCTTTAACTACCTCTTACATGATATTTTGGGTCCTGGAGGGCCTCTTTCTCCTGGACGTCCGTCATTTCCTGGGGGTCCTGCACTGACAGCAGGCCTTCCCGGCTCACCTGGCTGGCCATTGTCTCCTTGTTCTCCTTTGAAACCAAACGGGCCGAAGACGTACAACTCTGACAAAGAACACAAAAGTTGGTTTAGCTGCATTAAAAGCACTTCATGGGAAAAGATCATGTTTCTTTTTATCATCTTCCTGATGAGGCCTCCTGGTTTCTGTAATGTATAACTTTGACTTTCATTTAGTTGCAGGCTTTCATTAAAATTCCCAACTTATTAAAATGTAATCAGATTTCTTAAAATAACCAATAAATGAGATAAAGTTTGACTTGATATGGAGTTGATACAAAGCCATCTAATCTGAGTTTGCAGCTGCTGTCATTCTAACAGCTCTCTCAGTACTAAATATTTACACAACTAGGATATCACCAAAATATAATTGTCTTATAATTAAATTACTTTTAAATAATTACAATATTTTATTTGACAGTACTGGTGAGTGTTTTTCTTTAGGAACAGTTCCTAAAACAAATAGAAAGACAATATGGACAATACAGACCCAAAGTAAAATAAATAAAAAAATGTCAGTGTGATGAATATGTCACTTCAGTTTATTTTATTAATGCAACAGCAACTCATAAACATAATTTCTATGCACAGTCATCATTGTTTCACACGGGACAAATATACAAGAGGGGCCGAGTTTCTCTTCTCTGCAACTTCCCACAAATGGACCAACAGTTCAACTAATGTCAAAGTACACTACAGTGTGTGTGTGTGTGTGTGTGTGTGTGTGTGTGTGTGTGTGAGAGAGAGAGAGAGAGAGAGAGAGAGAGAATGACAGAAATGTTAATTTTCACAAAGTTTACCGCCTGAGTTTTTTTAAACGTTTTGTCAGATATGTGGTATAATGAAGTACGATTATAAACATTCCATAAGCATTTTTAACTTTTGTTTTTATTGACAAATAGATCCAGTTTAAGCAAAGTATTAATATTTACAGTGTTGACCCTTCTGCTTTAAGACTTCTGCAATTCACTTCGGCATGCTGGATGTCAGCTTCTGGTCAAAATCTCAAATGATGGCAACCCATTCTTGCCTAATCAGTGCTTGGAGTTGTTCAGAGCTTCTGTTTTTTATTGTCCACCCTCTTTTTGAGGACTGACCACAGGTTCTCAATGAGATTGAGATCTGCAATTTTTTCCTGACCATGGATCCAAAATTGCAATGTTTTGTTCACAGAGCCACTTGGTTATCACTGTTGTCTTGTGACATATTACTAATGAAGCCATCAGCTTATTCTAAAACTCAGCTATTAACTTTATGAGTAGTTACATATCTTATTGAAAGGAAACAGTGTGTTATTTATGGAATTTGCTCAAATCCCTTCCACGTGGAATTCCACAAGGTAGCTGCTTTGATCCCCTGTTGTATAGTATTTTTGTAAATGACATGCCATTTGTATTAGTCAATGCATGCATGACTATATATGCTGATGATACAACTATTTTTGTGTCTTCTGATAGTTTGGATCAAGTAAATATGGTATTACAACAAGAGCTAATGTCTATGTCTGAGTGGGTAACAGACAACAGGTTAAAACCGAATGTTTAAAAAACAAAATGTGTGGTGTTGGGTTCTAAATATTTTGTAAGACAAACTCAAAAGTTGCAAATCTTCGTATAAAACAATGAATACAACAAGTTGAAGAGGCGGGGAGTCATAATAGACAAAACTCTTTCATGGTCTACACAAATTAATAAGATTGTGACTAAGATGAGCAGAAACATTGTTATAATCTGGCGTAATGTGCATTTTATGTCTCTGCAAATAAGAAAATTAGTAATACAGTCTTTAGTTCTTTGTCAACTTCAATATTGTTCAGCCGTTTGGTCAAGTGCTTCAAAAACATCTGGATAAACAGCAGATATTTCAAAATAAAGCTGCAAGACTAGCACTCGGATGTCATTTTAGAACAAACTTTGATTTCATGCATCAATGTCTGTCATGGATGAAAGTCTATGACAGACTTGCATGCAGCCTTCTTTCCTCTTTACACAAAATCTGGACTTCACATAAACCGTTTAGCCCAGCGGTGCCCAAACTTTTTCTCTGAGAGGGCCAAATTTAAAATCTATCAGAAGGCTGCGAGCCAAATGCAACAATACTGTAATACATGAAATGCAAATACTTCTTTAAAGTCCATTTATTTATTATATAGTTATTTATCCTTCCATTCTGTATAAAAAAACATCACAGAACAGGCTGCGTTGGTGGTGGTGGTGGTGTCTGGGGCTCCTCCCCCAGAGAATTTTGAATAAAGTAGATGCCATTTCCTGCATTCTGGTGTATTTTACAAAAGTTTATTACAGTAAATTAACATGAAACAAAAGATGTAAACTCTGTTATTCTTAAAATCTCTTTGACTGCAAAACGTTCGTAAGGCAACACCACTGCAGCTCTGCAGGTAAGGGATGTTCACTTCAGGACAAATCGAGGTTGCTGATTGGTCAGTTGCTGATTGGTCAAATCGAGGTTGCTGATTGGTCAGTTGCTGATGTGCCTACTGGATTGATTGACAGGTGGCGGGACTCATGCAAAAAAAAAAAAATCTAAGATTTTATTGGTCCGTTTGAGACTGTCGTCATTTATTCCATATTTATTTAATATTTTGGTGAATCTACGGTGTGAGAACTGTTTCCTTACACAATCCTAATGATTTCTTTATTTTTCAGGGGTGCTGAGTTTAAATTTAAAGAGGCTCAAATCACCACTGAAACCAGTTCATATTTACAATTTACTTTTAAACACTTTGTGATTTATAAGTGTGTTCTGTCAAAGGAAAATGTTATTCAGTGGCAAGAAACTGCCGAGGGATGGTAGAAAGTCTGTCAAAATGAAATATAGAAATAAAAATTAATAATAAATAAAAACATACATTATCTACTCTACTGTGTAATCCGTGTAGTTAATTTAAGGTAGTCAGGCCGACTAACAATAAAGTTAATGGGTGGAGTCAATGAGCACATTGATTCTTCAAAGGAAATTTTAATATATTAATGAGGACAGCTTGGCGGGCCAACTTTGGGCACCCCTGGTTTAGCCTTTTCTCACAGTTGTTAAACACCTGAAATAGACGTGCTTTTAATACTAGACGAGCATCAGTTGTTACTTTTATATGACCTCTGCCCAGGACTAATGCTCTCAAAAGAACAGCTGTGTATCGAGCTATTTCTTATTGGAACATGCTGCCGTCTGTAATAACATTAATTGCTGTTCATGTACATTTTAAAAATAACTTTAAAAATCTGTAATAGATAGTGAAATAAAATTTAACTTCCAACTTCCATTTTGGTGTGTGGCTGCATCTAGGTGTAAGAAAGGTCTCGTTAGAAAATTGGGTTGCCACGTCTCTATCCAATCCAGAAAAAAACACTCGTTATTCAAATCCATGGGAGACATCAGCGCACCACTTGTTGACTTCAACTGAACATTATTTTAATGCAAACAAGATGGATTTGCATGACTCAGATGGTTGGCATGAACCTGTTCAGGTTGGACTGATCTCTAAATGTACAAGTAGGTGGAGCATAAAAATGACACAGAACAAAGGAAATCAGCGTTAACTCCATGCCCATCTAATATTTCTCTAAAATTCTAACAGAATTACTGACCAAGCTAAACAATAGATAACAAAGTGAGCGTGTCATCGCAGCCCACTTTGCAAAGCAAGTCCAACTTTAATCAGTAAATAACCTTTTAGGATGATTTAAGTTAACAAACCTTGCTGCTGGGAGTCAGAAGCAGGAATTCCAGGCTGTCCAGGGAAACCTTGGTCTCCAACAGGACCTCTCTCTCCTTGTGGACCTTGCTCACCAGGGGATCCAGGGGGACCAACTTGAGGCAAACAAAGAGAAGATATATTAGTTTTAATGTAAAGGACAAAAAGTATGTTTTTTTTTTTTGGCTGCTCCCGTCTGCAGGGGGTGCCACAGCGAGTGAACTTGAAATATTTAGTGATTCTTTTATGTTGGATGCCCCTCCAGACGTAACCTGGGCTCAAACCAGAAACCCCGGCATAACGAGGCTGCAGCACTTACCCACTGAGCTACTGCATCATCTTTATGTAAAAGACAACATTCAGCAATTACAGATCATTTTTGTTTTCTGATGTAAATTCACACAAAACAATTAATAAAGCTCTAAATTAAATATGCCAACAACGATTTTTGTTTAATACTTCTGAAATAAAGAGACAAGATGAGGCGTGATGACGCAACACAGCACAAAACAAGGCACATAAACACATTTTCATTAGATACACTATGATAGGATACAAAAAGGTTCAATAAGCTACACCGAGATGTGTTAAGTAAAAATAAAATACAATGATTAGATAAAATCCAATAAGATAAATTTACTGTTCGAGTGCCTAAAAGAAAGTTTCTGCCTTTCTTTTAGTAATAACACATCTCATTGCTTTCAATTTGTTGCTTCTGGCCACATTAGACAAACTCAACCAATCACTTTCAGTTAGTGCCCATCTTACATCACAACAACAAAACAAATAAACACAAGAAGATGAATTATTTCTCATGTTTGCTTTTGACTATTTTTAGTCTGCTGCGACTTTATAACCCATCACCAACATTATGTTAACGTTGTTTCCACACAGCAACACTGCGCATGCTCAGGCCTGGGTTTCTGTCAGAGCTGCTGCTCGAGAGCGTTCTTTACTTTCTGCTGCAGATTTGCTCTGACACCATTAAACATGCAGTACAGGTGCTGGTCATAAAGTCAGAATATCATGAAAAAGTTGATGTATTTCAGTAATTCCATTCAAAAAGTGAAACTTGTATATTCATTCATTACACACAGACTGATATATTTCAAATGTTTAGTTATTTTACTGTTGATGATTATAACTGACAGCTAATGAAAACCCCAAATTCAGTATCTCAGAAAATTTAAACATTACTTAAGGTCAATTAAAAAAAGTATTTTTAGAAATGTTGATCAATTGAAAAGTATGAACATGAAAAGTATGAGCATGTACAGCATCAATACTTAGTTGGGCTCCATTAGCCTGGATTACTGCAGCAGTGAGGCGTATGGCATGGAGTCGATCACTGCTCAGGAGTTATGAGAGCCCAGGTTGCTCTGCCCTTCAGCTCTTCTGAATTGTTGGGTCTGTTGTATCACATCTTCCTCTTCACAATACCACAGACTTTCTATGGGCTTAAGGTCAAAAGAGTTTACTGGCCAGTTAAGTACAGGGATACCATGGTCACCAGGTATTGGTAGCTTTGACACTGTGTGCAGTTGCCAAGTCCTGTTGGAAAATGAAATCTGCATCTCCGTAAAGTTGATCAGCAGCAGGAAGCATGAAGTGCTCGGAAACTATCTGGTAGACGTCTGCGTTGACCTTGGACATCCAGAAAACACAGTGGACCAACACCAGCAGATGACATTGCACTCCAAACCATCACTGACTGTGGAAACTTGACACTGGACCTCAAGCAACGTGGATTCTGTGCCTCTCCTCTCTTCCTCCAGACTCTGGGATCTTGATTTCCAAAGGAAATGCAAAATTTACTTTCATCATAGAACATAATTTTGGACCACTCAGCTGCAGTCCCAGACAAGATGCTTCTGACACTGTCTCCTGTTCAAGAGTGGCTTGACACAAAGAATGTGACAGCTGAATCCCTTGTCTTGGATACATCTGTGCATGGTGGTTTTTTAAGTACTGACTCCAGCTGCAGTCCACTCTATGTGAATCTCCCCCACATTTTGGAATGGGTTTTGTTTTACAATCCTCTCCAGGGTGCAATTATCCCTATTACTTGTACACTTTTTTTTTTACCACATCTTTTCCTTCCCTTTGCCTCTCTATTAATGTGCTTGGACACAGAGCTCTGTGAACAGCCAGCTTCTTTAGCAATGACCTTTTGTGTCTTGCCTCCTTGTGCAAGGTGTCAGTGGTCGTCTTTTGGACAACTGTCAAGTCTTCCCCATGATTGTGTAGCCTACAGAACTAGACTGAGACCATTTAAAGGCATTTGCAAGTGTTTTGAGTTAATCAGCTGATTAGAGTGTGGCACCAGGTGTCTTCAATACTGAACCTTTTCACAATATTCAAATTTTCTGAGATAATGAATTTGGGGTTTTCATTTGTTGTCAGTTAAAATCATCAACATTAAAAGAAATAAACATTTAAAATACATCAGTCTGTGTGTAATGAATGAATATAATATACAAGTTTCACATATTGAATGGAATTACTGAAATAAATCAACTTTTTCGTGATATTCTAATTTTATGACCAGCACCTGTATATGAGAAAGTGTCTCTTGGGAAGATGGAAGTGTCGAGATTAACTTGGTGCAGATACTTCTCTGTTCCTTTAAAATTCACTGAGGAAGGTGGATGATGCTGTGTCTGATCTGTGATGACATCAGTCCCTCACGTGTCTGAGCACACCCACAATCACCACGAGCGCTGCTGTCAAATGATCTCAGCTCATCATCCGGACATTTTATTGCATTTGGTCAAGAAACCCTTTAGAAGATCTCTGGAACTGTTCAGGAGTGACTTGTGTGTTCATCAACTCACCAGCTGAAGACCAGGAGCCTGACGAAATCACCTCCCCTGGATCACCTCTGGCTCCCTGAAACACAAACATACAAATAAAAACGTGTTAAAAATATCTAGAAAAAAGTTTGACTTCGCTGTTCCTGCTTCTTTTAGACGACACACACCGATCACATGGGCAGAAACTTTCAGCCTGAAACCACAAAGATTCAGCTGACACTAAATTTTTCTATAGATGGACGTTTGTTACAAAACAAGCTGCACGGATTTTACAAGTTGTTTCACTGACACAGCTATCTGAGTGAATTAACAAAAGCAATGCACCTAAAATCTGCACAAACAGGCTAACGCTTCAAAGCAGTCAACAGTAATTCAACACATGATTTCAAGGATTCAACGTTTCTATCTTACCTTAAGACCATCAACTCCATCCGATCCTGGTTCACCAGAATCGCCCTGAAACAGCGTTGTCATGGAGACGTTACAAAATATTGTTTTGTTCTTAATCTAAGGATATGCAGATGATCTGATAAACCATCACACAGCCATACCATCAGTCCCGGAAGCCCGTTTGCACCATTTTCACCCTTAAGAGTTCAGAAGAGCACACAGTATAAAGTTAGGGCTTGTGCAGGAGTTTGGATGAAATGTGTGTCTGTCCTCACCCTCATTCCAGGGAATCCCATTAAACCAGTTTCTCCTTTGTTGTCTGCCTGAAATAAACCAATCAGATTAGTATAATTTTATCAGTGTGTGGAAATATAAAGCAGATAAATTACAGTATGACATCACCTACCATTTCTCCACGATCTCCTTTTCCACCTTTCCTTCCGGTTTGCCCCTAAAACAATTACAAAATTTTCTTTAAATTCATGCATACTTACAGTTTTAACAGTATTTTTAAATATTAGACACCGTTTCAGAGACAATGTGTGAATAAAACAAACAGCACTGATTACAGATTGAGGCTGGCGCTGCTGAGTCGTGTAGTTTCCTGGTGGCCCTTGTGCTCCGATGTCGCCCTGTGCTCAAAGCAGGAGAAGCAAACGGTCATGAAGAGCTGTCACTTACTGAAGCTACCCCTTAACAAAAAGTAGTACATTTGAAGCTTATTTTTGCAAGTATACTTTAAGTTAAGTTAAGTATATCAAGTATACTAGACACCATACTTGTAGTGTGCTAGAAGTATACTGATTTAATACTTGTTTGGACTAAATTGGGACATTTTTATACTATACTTCCAGTAAGATGGCGCCCGTGTACATGGCTTGCAATCCACCTCTGCTGATGGTGTTTGGATTATTTGTGTTTTGTTCGTTTTTCATCTGGTACATAAACTCGCTGCTGGTGTATGACCGACAATAGCTTCTGGATCTTCGTTTTTCTTTTAGTTACATTTTCTTATCCACAGATACTGGTGATTCTGTGCTGCTTGTCCTGTTGGACCTCACAGCTGCCTTTCACACCATCGACCATGAGATCCTCATTGCTAGGTTGGAGCAGTGGGTGGGCATCACAGGATCAGCCCTCAATTAGTTCAGATCATACCTCGCTGACAGATCCTTTTGTGTCTCCATCAAGGATTTTAGTTCTGCAGTGACATATCTTAAATGGGGGGTTCCGCAGGGGTCCATCCTGGGTCCCCTCCTATTCTCTTTATACCTGCTGCCACTTGGTGCTATTTTCCGAAAACACAACATGCCCTTTCACTTCTACGCCGATGACTGTCAAATTAACTTCCCCCTAAGACACAATGGTACATGCTCTATTCAACCTCTGCTTGACTGCCTGGCTGACATCAGGGACTGGATGGCTTTAAATTTCTTAAGTTTCAATGAAAAGAAGTCTGAAGTCATGTTGTTCTCTCCCAACGACACGATCACAAACCACTGCATCGACCTTTCCACGCTAACCCTGTCAGAAAAACAAAGAGTCACTAATCTGGGAGTGATAATGGACCCTTCCCTGAAACTTAACAATCACGTAAACATGATTGTTAAATCATGTTTCTTCCAACTGAGGCGGCTGTCTAAACTGAAGCCCATATTGTCCAAAAAGAACCTGGAGACAGTAATACGTGCATTCATTACATCTAGGCTTGATTACTGCAACTCGCTCCTGTTTGGTATCAGTCAGACCTCCATTGCACGACTACAACTGGTCCAGAATGCAGCAGCTCGATTTTTAACCAGTACAGGCAAAAGAGAGCACATTACACCAGTTTTGGCCTCACTGCACTGGTTACCGGTTCACTTTCGAATCCAGTTCAAAATACTCCTGTATGTCTACAAATCACTGAACAGTTTCGCCCCCCCCCCCATCTCTCTGATCTGCTACAACCGTATGTCCCACCGCGTTCCCTGAGGTCAGCGGACCAGTTGCTCCTCACAGTTCCAGGAACTCGTTTTATGCGCAGAGGTGACAGGGCCTTCTCTGTCGCAGGACCAAGACTTTGGAACGAGTTACCTCTGCTTGTCAGACAGGCCCCCTCCCTCTCGGTTTTCAAGTCCCGTTTAAAAACCCACTACTATTCAGTAGCTTTCAACACCAGAGGATCTGTGTTTTGATCCTGTACGCTCCACACTGGTTTGTCGTCATATTTATTATCTGCATCGATTTTGTCTATATTTTTGATTTACTTCATTTTGTATATTGCTTCGTGTGTTACCTGTTGTTCTGTCTGTACAGCACTTTGGTTGGCCTTGTAGCTGTTTTAAGTGCTCTATAAATAAAGTGGTATGGTATGGTATTTTTAAGTATATCAAATAAAGTTTATAAAAAGTAAACTTCAAGTACACTTCCTCATTTTTATTGTAAAATAAGTATACTTGTAGTATACTTAAATAAACTACTTTTTGCTAAGGGAAAGTCTGTGAAGTAAAACTCGTTTGAAGGAGTTAAAAGAAGCTGTTGTCATCAGTTTTGTATAATCAGACATTTTTTAAATAAAATGAAGCAGCGAGTGACATTTAAAACTATCAGAGCAGTTTCTGTCCAGTTCGAAACCAACAAAACACTCAAAGATGCTGCTTTTCAGGTCAAAATGATAAAACTGCTGTCTCTGTTTTTATGTCAAGCTTTGTGTTTGTTACGAATGTGAATCGAGAACTTTTTATTACAGCTCAGTAATAAAATAGTGCCTGTGGGGTGATAGTTGGATAAAAACAATAAAATATTTAGGCCAAAACAGAAACTATAAACTTCCTGTTTAAATATCTTCATGGACAAACTGTGTCAAGGGATGAATTTCTCTAATGAAACACAGAAACTAGAAACATCGTGTCCCCACAAAATAGTGTGAATGTTTATGAAGCACTCAAACGATTGATTCATTTTTCTTCTGTTATATTTTCTGCGTTTTTCTTGTTCCACAGGTTTCAAGTTATTTCAACAAATCATATATTCAGCTCATTCAGGAGAAGGGTGCTATGTAGTGTTGTAGTGCTCGAGACCGCTCTTGGTCTTGAGACTGGTCTCAAGACCACATTTTGATGGTCTTGGTCTTGTTTCAGTCTCGGACATTGAGGACTCTGGATTTTATTTCAAGACCAGTCAGGACCACAACTGTGGAAATATCACTAAATTGCCAGAATATTGTCCAGTTTATTTGTCAACATCTTTGTTTTTTTTGGATGCAAAACGTACTGGTTCAAATCCAAGAGATCACGTGACTCATTGCTAAATACATTTTTGTTTCCGCTGTCACGCCCACCCCCCTTCACTCGCACGCGTCACTCCAAGAAAGTGAGAAGTGATTGTCTGAGTGCAGGAGAAGATGTCTGCCAAATCATCAGTTAGAAAATGTGGCTATTTAAATCACAAAGAATATACTTGTAACTAATATCCATTTATATACATTTTTAGATGTATATCTGCTACTTTATTAAAACCACTGTGCAACTATATGGTCATCCTTGGTGTTGAGTTTGGACTTATGAAGATCATTTTGCCACTGGAGTTTTTTAAGTCTTGACATGATGAAACTGCTTCCAGTTTAACAGTTGTGTCATTTTATTGTTGAATCACCTGAAGTCAGGCCCCTGAATGTCTGATTTCTTTCTTATGTAGCTTTGAAAATTTATAAAAATAAACAAAGTTGTAGTATGTAACTTTTATTAAAAAAAATTGTATAATAACATTTTATATTTTATTTATTTTATTTGAGGTTTTGGTCTTGACTTGTTCTTGGACCCTCAAAATCTTGGTCTTGTCTCGGTCTCGGTGCACTCTGGTCTTGACCAGGTCTCAGGTTAGGTGGTCTTGAACACAACACTGGTGCTATGATTTTTGGTATTTGGTGCAACTTTAGCTCTTTGAAATATTTAGTCTTTTCTGCCACTTTTTGTCTCATAGAAAATTAATTGAGATCATTTTCCATCCTTCAAATCTATTTACAACCTTTTACTGATCCTTTCACATTTTGTTCTGCTTCAGCTTCTTTCAGCTACCTTGTGAAAATTTAAACTTTTTTCAGCTACTTTCAGCTAATTTCAGCTGTTTTCTCCAGCTATTTTGTGCTGCTTTTAGATTCTTTCTGCTAACTACATTTTTTGTGCCTCTTCTAACTTCTTTCTGCTAATTTCAGCTTATTATGCTCCTTTCAGCTTATTAATGCCATTTTCAGCTTTTCCTGCTATTTCAGCTACTCTTTAGCTGTTTTTATGTTAATTTTAGTTTGTCAGCTAATTCCACTTTTTTTTTGCAGCCATTTCAACTTTTTTCAGCCTAATTCAGCAAAGGTGCTCTCTCCACTTCTGGCAATTTATGCTTCTTTCTGCTTTTTTGGCCACTTTTCAGTTGTTGTTTGCTAATTTCAGCTTTTTTTTTTTTTTTTTTTTTTTGGATAATTTTCACTTTTTGTGCTCATTTCTGCTTCTTTCAGCCTAACTGGGCAAACGTGTTCTTTCTGCTTTCTTCTACTAATTTAAGCTTTTTCTACCTTTCAATTAGCTTTTTAGCATTTTTTAGCTAATTTCAGCTGTTTTTGTATAAATTCAAGTTTTTTTGTGGTAACTTCTGATACTTACAGACCAATTAACTTCTTTCTACTAATTCCAGCTTCTTATGCTCCTTTCAGATTTTTTTTGCTAGTTTCAGCTTTTGCTGCTATTTCAGCTACTTTTGAGCTGTTTTTGTTCTAAATGTAGCTTTTTCAGCTAATTCCACATTTGTTTTAGCTCATTTCAGCTCCTTCCACCTCATTCTGGTAGTTTAAGCTTCTTTCTGCCTTTTTAATCTACTTTTCAGCTATTTAAAAAAAATAATAATTTCAGTCCTTTTTTAAAAAAAAAAAAGCTCATTTACTCACTTCTGTGCTCATTTCTGCTTATTTAAATCTAATTCTGCAAATGTGTGTAGTTTCTGCTTTCTTCTGCTAACTTTGGTTTGTTCTTCCATTTCAAATTTCAGCTGTTTATCAGCAATATTTTTTGCAGGAAATGCAATTTCTCTAGTTTCATTTGTATTTAAAACATATTACAAACACAGCATTTTGTTGTAAGCCATTTCATATATCATTACCAGAACATGGCCATGCTATTACAAGTAATGCACAATATATATAAAATGTATCAATGTCACATTATCAAAATGTGCAACATCAGTATCTCACAGGAATCAAATAAATCACAGACACAAATGCTGCTACAAAAACATTTGATGGTTTGATGGAGCCTCACTGCCGTAAAGTGTCAGCATTGTGATAGCAAGAATATGAGTTTATCAAAAATCAAATTTAATTGCAATTATTGAGATAATATCACAATTGTGTGCCCGTTTGCAAATTGTTTGACTTTGTAATTTATAAATCTATTTACCTCATTGCTTTTTTGCCACAAAATAAAATGAAAACTTGTGGTAAAATGACTCTGGCGTGGTCAGTGGTCAGTATAAGTCAGGTCATATTGTGATTATAAATGTGAGTTTTGATGTTGACACAAAGCATCACGTTCACTATCAAGAGTCTTAAAATAGGATCACACACTTGTTAAATCTTTACGCTTGATGTTCATGAGTGTTATTTGTTAAGCAACATCAAATTTATTTCCTTCATCTCCTCAGTAGAGGCATCATCTGACATGATGAGTAAAAGTTGTACAGCAGTCGACGGATGTGGTTTCTCACCAGCTCTCCTTTGACTCCCTTTAACACTTTGGTCATGGTGCCCTGGACAGAAGGAATTAAAAAAAACTTGAACCATCGATCAGGTTTCCATCAGAATAAGACCTCATTCTGCTGCGCTTCACTGTCAAGCATCACATTTACTTCATTAACAGAGTCTGTGTTACTTCACCTTTGGTCCAGGGGGACCAGCAGGACCTGGAGGGCCCTAAAAAGACAAAGCAATAAAATTGTTAGCATCACAAAGATTCACTTTTAGAGGCTTCACTCCTAAACCACGTGCAGACACAAACCTTTGGTCCTTGCGGGCCTCTGTTACCTTCCCACCCTTGTATTCCTGGAGGCCCCTGGAGAAAAGTGAGATTTCAGACAATTAGAGAACAATGCAGCTGCAAAACATTCATCTAAGATTATATAATAATGTGTCCTACCTTTATTCCATAGGATCCTGGTGTTCCTGGATCACCCTGATGAGCAAATATGAATAAATGTAGTCAGACTGAAAATGTTGTATTTATGCTTTTCAACAAAAAGAACTCCTCTTCCTCACCCTGAATCGCTGCATGTACACCGTTATGTCCAGAGAGTCTCCCTTCTCCCCCTTCCTGCCAGGATATCCCTGAGAATAAAAAAAAATAGAGCAACAATAATTATTACTTATTTAAAAACATGCAATATTTGAGTTTACAGATAAAAGTTTCCAGATTTAGAGACATACAGAAGCTCCAGGTGTGCCCATAAAACCAGGAATCCCGGGCAGCCCTGAGTCTCCTTGAGTCCCGTTGCAGCCGTCTGCTCCTGGCCTCCCCCTGGGCCCACCTTGTCCTGGATGGCCCTGAAGAAGTTTCAACACAAGTGGAGTTTAAACTCTATCAGCATCCACAGGACACCAAAATGTGTGATTTTACTCACAGGAATGCCATCGATTCCAGAGAACCCAGGTACACCGGTCATTCCCTGCGCAGCAAAAAGAGTCATGTTGATAAAAAGCATTTGAAATTTATATTTTTATATTAAAATATATTTTACCATGCTGCCTTTGGGACCTATGAAGCCACCAGGTCCATGGTCACCTTTCTCCCCCTTTGGTCCTTGGATGCCAGGCTCTCCTGGTCGGCCTACTGGTCCCGCTGGGCCCTGAGGGCCAAGAGGCCCAGGAAAACCCTGATTTTAGGAAAAAAGACGAGGACAAATAATTTAAACAAACAAAGTAAGAATGAAGCTAATGAAATACAAACATAAAGGTGCTAGATGCTTGTTGCGCCGTTTATGAGAATTAAATATCAAATAAGAGTCTAGGACATCACACACTGCAGATATCTGAGGTTACTCAATAAGCAACTCTGGAGAAAACTAAACTAGTTTGAAAAGAGAGTAAACTATTTGAACAGAGCAGGACTTACTGTTTGTTACCAGGAGACACAGATGGAGAAATAAAAAACAAAGTATCACAACAAAAACAAGCTGTAAAGTTAAGCTTATTTTATTAATATATTCCACTCCTTTTGATAAATTATGTAGTTTTAAATTCTGATTAATTTCTTGCTTGAGTCACCAGAGGGAGACAAACTTTTATTTATCATCAGTTCTTCATGTTGGCTTTTTATGCTCTCTGCCTCCACCTGGTGGCCAAACTGAACACTGCAAACCTTCACCGTCCAATTGCGTCAAGTTCAAACCAACTCAGTCAGCAGATGCAAACATAAAGAGATAAAATAAGATTCAGATGAAATTTATATTTATAGTCCAATCTTTACATTAAAGTAATTAGTCTATTAAGACTTTCAGTCTGACAGAGGGAAGAGGACCGCCGTGCAGACAGAAAATAAAAACAAGCACGACGTGCTGTGGATTTTACTTTCATCATTTCAAATTGTTTTCTCAGTTTATGGAATAAATACAGACAAATAAATAAAAGCGTCACAAACGAGCATGTGCAGGTGTGATTTAAAGGAAAACCAGCTTTCAGATGGATTCCCTCAAGAGCTGGAATGGGGTTTACAAGCACATTTAGCTTTGGTCTCAGAGACAAACAGAAGAGATCCTTGATGTGAGGGTGGGCAGAGAGGGTAAACTGAATAATATGTGGACAGAAATATTTAGAACGATCAGAAAACATGAGGTTGAAGACGTCTTGTGAGTTTGTGTGGCTGGGGGTTTATGTGGTCCATAAGTGCTGACCTCAGAGTTCCTGTGAGAACATTGGGTCTATTTGGCTCCACATACAAATGCTCTGCTCTGTGATGAAAACATATGAACCTCATGGGAACTAATAAAAACAACGGCGGCCTGAATATGGTCGCACAACAAATCAAAGCAGGTCATGGATAGATGTTTGTCCCCTTGCGCATACAATGTCGGCACAAGTGGAGCTTGGATTTTTTGGGCCATTTTTAGTAAAACGAGGTGTGTTTAGTCTCTGAACATCATGAATTCAGCCTGCAGCTGTTGCCTTTGCAGCAGACACCAGGCAAAAGGAATCTCAAAACATGTCAAACTCAACATGAAGAATGTGTTAAAGAGCTAAACCTTGCAGTGACATCACCACCATTTTCTGGTGATAAGCTGCATGATGACAAAGATATATTTATCACTATGGCAGTGACATCATAGTAGTTTTTTCTGCAGGATTCTGCAACACACTGGAAACTGTCAGAATGAAAACATTTTGACCACGCACCAGAACCTGATAATAGCACTGGAGTTTGCACAGAGTCTGATAAAACATCCATCTGGTAACTATTAGATCACCTTTCCAAAATTATAAATATTGATCTTTTAGTGTCATAAATTCCCCAGTTATAAAAAAAATGCAATTTTAAAACAGCTTTGGCAGGAACCACTATGAAATTTTGGTGATTATAGTTGTTTTAGGGACGGCAACAAACCATTTCGGCTATTGGCCTCACTCAGACTAGCTGCGTGCTCATCAAGTGGGTAAAAATAATAAATAATAATCTCCAAACTGAGCGTCACCCCACCTTTGAAGACACAAATGTGTTTGCTTTAAAAACGTGCAGTATAAATGATCTGTTTTAACACTTTAGGCTCATTTTCAGATCTAGAAACTGATCCTAAACTTGTTCTGATCAGCTGATTCATGAAGTCATCCATATCAGTAAAGCTCTGGATGTTCACTTCCTTTCTCTTCATAGCTTAAAAGTCACTGATTGTCCACCAGTCCTTCACAACTCTACTTCCTTCATGCAGCCATACTCCCCATTGTTATCTGCTCTCATTGCTTCCATCCAGCATTTCCTCTCCCCCTCAAACTCTCAAGGGGTCCAACATCCTCCTGCCGGCCTTTTCACCCTCCTTTCTCAAACAGTTTCTTTTCTTCCTTGTCTCCTCTGGGTCAAGAGTGACCATCATGCCTACCATGGCCAGATACTGAACCACATGTTTGGTGAAAAAGAAGTGAGTAAAAAAGATCTGTTTAAAGACTTAGAAGAGTTCCGTGGAAGGGTTAAGAGCAATTAGCGTCTTACCTGTTCTAGATAGCTCTTTGGATTTAGACATCTAATTGGGAGAAATGGAGTTTATTTCTCATCAGATTTTAAAACAACTCAAATCTAAAAAAAATTAAAAAATCAAAGCAATTTATGAAAACTCTACTTTTAAACCTTTACATCACACAGTTATTCCCAACAAAGATAAAACTCTCTCCAGAAACAACACACCATGTTGCAACCAAGGCGCTTTAGTTAACTGCTGCTGCAATTAACGCTCGTATGAACCAAAGTGATCTGCATCAACAACGGTGTAATGAAACACTGGTGCTGGTGTTAAAGTTTTTTTTTTAATGTGTTTGCAGAAACAACAATAAAATTCATGACATATTGCTCCAAAAAAAACCTCTGAGAAAATTCTTTCCCTCAATTCTCTGTATGGGATGAACTGTAAAATGCTCCCTGATTGTTTGCATTACTCATTTTTAAATCAAGGATATTTATAACGAGCCCCCCCCCCCCCCCCCCCCCCCCCCCCCCCATGTCTGACACCATAAATTTGATCTGACTGTCCCCTGAGGGGGCTGTTGGGGAAGGGCCCAGCAGGAGCAGGATGGGAACTCGTAGTCCAGTGTGAACCTCTGACCTCTGAGTTGAATAAAATAAATTGATAAACAACGGTCCGGAAACGGGCTCTGTTATTCTATTTGTCTGTGTGCAGAGAGCAAAGAACCACAGAGGACATTCTGTATTTGTTTACATGAAAAAAAGCCAGAGCGACTTATTAAAAACACTCATCATCAGGATGAAGTGGGGTTACAGGATAAATAGCGATGCTGTCTTTGAGAGGATCATGGAAATAACGCTACTGAAAAAAAACCTGTTTATGTGAATAAAATAGGATATAGGACACAACTGTGATCACATATTAATCTTATTCAAACCACCAACGCTCCCACAGCTGCTTCCTGCTCTGCTTTAATAAAGACGATCTGCTCATGTCGCCATTCACACAGCTGGAAACAAAAACGACACTTTGTGCATTTGATGGTCTGCACTCTTGGTGTTTATCCTTTAATAAAACAACGTCCCACCCCCCCAAAAAGTTTTATTTTAAAGGAAGCCCAATGTTTTACATCCTCTGTGGGATGTCCCACATGTATGAGGGACAGAGAGCAAATAAACATCTATGGGTTTAAATTACATTCACATGACAATCAAAACTCCTCCAAACAACTGTAAAATCACTGAAGCCTAATGAGTTCATTTTTGCAGGAGAGCATGACGTCATCATCAGTAGGGGGCAGTGTGAGCTGCATCACACGTGTCTGTAGCTGCAGAAAACGACATAAAAGAAACAAAACTTGATTTCCTGTGTCATACCTGAGAATCAAATTATTTTTTTCATCAATACATCATTAACAGTTACATGTTTGTCATTCTGGGTGGAGTTTGCATGTTCTCTCTGTGCATGTGTGGGTTTTCTCCAGTTACTCCAGTTTCCTCCCACAGACCAAAAACATGCATGTTAGGCTGACTGGTAACTCTAAATTGTCTCTAGGTGTGAGAGAGAGACTGAATGGTTGTTTGTCTCGTGTCCCTATGATAGATTATTCTATTATCTTCATTTTTCCCAAATGGCCAATCACTTAAATATAAATAAAGGTCTAGCACTACTTGCAGGGATGTTTATTGCTTGCTGCCTTTCATGACAGTGATTTAAAAACTTGTAAAAAATAAAAATGGCACGACAAACGACAGAGTAATTGCTATTTTGGTCAAATCCTGAAAATAAGATTACGTGATCTCGTTATTGTGAGTCTTTGTGTAATCTATGCTCAGATTACGTGCTAAATCTTAGCCCTGTACTTGTAAAATTGACTGAGTTTGAGCATTTTATGCCTCCTCTAATGTTGATTAGCTGTGGCAGCCGTTTTGAGTCAGGCTGGCTTTAAAAGGTAATGAGCTGTAGATGTCCATCCAGTGATTACATTCTCAAAGTTTCATTGAAATTCTCCAGGTGGTCCAAAAACATTTTGCTAACAGACACAAACACACACACAGTCACAGGCAATGACATCATCCCCTGCATTTCATGGTGGTGGACAATAAAAAAAAATAAATGGGGTTGTTCACGTTTTAGGAAGCTGTTAACTAGTGTTGGGAAGAAATGTCTTGTTTTACTTCTGAGAGTAATTTGAGAACATGGGCCAGCAGTTCTGAATGGATCAGAACAAATCTGAGTGAAATTAGGACTGTGTGGCAGAACAGAACAAAAGATGGTGACGTGAGGAAGAAGAAAATCTAAGGACGAGGATAAAATAAGCATGAATGAAGTATTGTGTGGAACTAAAGATGGACCAGCGGTACGCCGAGGTCCCCTGTCTCTGAAAGATTTGAATAGCGAATGATTGTGGTTTTCAAAATGAATGCTTTTCTGGAGTACAATTGAACAGGGAATGCAAGTAAACCATAATATTTTGGTGCCAGATATTCAACTGGGTAGGAGTTACACTGAGTATAAGAACAGAGGTCTTTTTTTTTTTTCTTGTCAGAGGCGGCACAGAGTGACTGGCTAGATAAGGGCACAAGTTTTTTCACCACCAGGTGTAATAGTGGAGTCAGAGGGTGGCCAATGATGGCCGTGGCCACTAAAGATTAATCTTTGGCCACCCCAGTCATTTGAGGAAACTAAACTTTTAAGTAACTTAAAAACTAGAAAAACTTCCCTCAAATGAACGGGGTGGCTGATTATATATGGTGGTGGCCATCTTGGATTTTGACATGGCAACCCAGTTTTTGATAGGAACCTTTCTTACATCTAATTCATCCACACATCAAGATGGAATCAGTGCTTATATTTCAAGTTATTGTGCTCTCAACATGCACAGACAGATAGACTAAAGGAGGGTGTTTACAATTCTCACTTTTCACTCCACAAGATAAAACAGAAAACAAGGAGAACTTTTCATGAAGGTGAATTACAGCATGCAAACGTGTCTGCAGAGAAACACTTTGATAGATTTGGTCCTGCTGCTCTGTGACCTATCTCGTTTGTTTTCCTTGGACGTGTTTTTCCAGGACTCATTTCCTGGACGTCGCATCCCTTATGCATGATGCTCAGAGGGGAAACGGCTCGGTTTCTCAACCCCAGAGCCAGGGCCAGAGGGGCTCTGCTTGGAGGGCAAAGAGGGCAGTCTGGATTCCCTGAGGAGGACTTTGCAGAGCAAATAAACATCTGTAGATGATGTTTAGATATGTAATAGAGTGGGTTTGGAGTCCCTTACTGCAGTCAGGAAGATCAGCTTTCTGAAAAATCCGAGAACCTCATGAAAATTCAGGATGATCACATTGGATCAGAGTGGATAAACATAACACAAAGGTTTTGTTGCCTCTCTAGAAACAACCATGAACGCATCTAAATATGGCATTTTGAGCTGATGCAACAAGTTCCCTGATTCATTTTTTCCGTTCAAGAAAGAGATAATTCAGATCTTTGAAAAAGGTTAACTTGGTTAATTATAGAAACTAAAGCCCCTTTTCCATAGTACCTTTTAGTACTGGTACAACATGGTTCGACTCGGCTCATTACGATACACATTGTGCTTCTATTATGCTTTCAGTACTGGTTCCAGTGGGCGGGATTGAGACTTCTCATTCTCCACATCTCATATATATATATATATATATATTTTTTTTTTTTTTCATTCATTCAACCTTTATTTAGACAGGTAATCCCATTGAGCCTCGAGGACTCATTTACAAGCGAGACCTGATTTCAACAAAGAATGATGACAACAATGGACAACAGCGACAACAATAAACAGTTATAAAAAAGTCATACAATTTTATATCCATCCATCCATCCATTATCTTTACCCGCTTTTTCCATTTTGGGTCACGGGGGTCGCCGGTGCCCATGTCCAGCAATCATTGTGCGAGGGGCGGGGTACACCCTGGACAGGTCTCCAGTCCATCACAGGGACACATAGAGATAAATGAGACAAACAACCATTCACTCTCTCACTCACACCTAGGGACAATTTAGAGTTACCAATCAGCCTAACATGCATGTTTTTGATCTGTGGGAGGAAACCGGAGTACCCGGAGAAAACCCACGCATGCACAGAGAGAACATGCAAACTCCACCAAGAAAGGCCCCTGGACCGGGGTTTGAACCAGGGACCTGCTTGCTGAGAGGCAGCAGCTCTACCAGTTGCGCCACA